TGATTGGTTGCTTTTGGACCAATCATGAGGTGCCGGATATGCAAATTTGAGGGATTCTAGTGGCCAATCAGAGGAAGGTTTCGAAGGTCAGGTTTTTGGAAGGGAACCAATCATGGTAATTGTTTGCCCTCTGAGAAACTTCGGCAGACTCGCTGGTGTGCAGCTTCCCACAGGCACACATGCACACGCACCAGGTAGGAGTTTAAGTCACCGGGTCTGGGATTCGAACTGTGGTCGATTACTTGGGAGTCCAACCATGTAGCCATTACGCTAACTGCTGGTCCCTCGGAGGCTAGTTCTTTGCATTTGCTTTCACGGTGGCCCCGCCGGGGCAGCAGCGTGGCAGGGCTCCTCTGCGCTGGCTGCGTGCAGCTGGCTCCGGGAGTGCGTGTTCTTTTCCCAGGGAATCGGAAGTATTTGCAAAAGGATTTGATTAACTGATTCTTGTAATGCCTCAGAGCCCCAAAGTCCGCATGTTCCCTCAGATCTTGACACATTTTATTCCCAGATGTATGGAAATTGATCTCATACTCTAAGTTCAATGACTTAGTATTTTCTTTCATTTACTAAGTCTCGGGTGTCATGAGACAAAGTTAGATCCTCAGCGTAGTGAGATGAATGTTTTCAACTTTTTGTATGAAACGTTTTATTAAACAGAAAGCTGAGTTTCACGGGGAACACTGCGCTCCATCTCGCGTCCACGTGAGCATTCCCTCCGCTCGCGCTGACATTTATGTCCACCTGTTTCATCCCTCAGTGACGTTCATTTTGTCAGTGACTTCGAAGGTCTTCATATATGTCTGTGGGCACCAGGCCTCTGTCAGGTGTATATCTTGCAAATATTTTCTTCTAGTCTGTATTTGTCTTTTCAGGTGTGTGTGTGTGTGTGTGTGTGTGTGTGTGTATGTGAGTGTGCACGCGTGCGGTGTTTTAGGCCAGGATCTTGCTGTGTTGTCACCCCTCTGCCTCAGCCTCTGAGTAGCTGGGTCTCTGGGGCATACCACTTTGGCCGGCTTCTCAGCTTCGTGTTTTGCTAGAGGAGCACATACTGGCCCGAGAGGGGACACCACCAGCCCCGCCCCACAGTCCTCTGCCCCTCCCCCATCAGTTTTAGACGCTCACACAAGTGTGCCTGGCAGGTGTTTCCAGCCACCTGGTCTGTGCAGTTTGGCTCACGTAGCTGTCGGGCCTGCTTTCCAACGTCCTCACTGCCCTGGGATGAGCGGAAGTTTCTCCTGTTAATGACGTTTCATTTTCATCCATTCGAAGTTGCCTTTTCGAGTTGATTTTGGAAGAACTAGATCCCAGATTTTCATAACAATAATCTCAGTTCTGTTCTAATTACTGAATACTTCAATCTCTTCAGACAACTTCGTTTTGTTATAGAGGTTCTTTGCGCCACTTCGAGCAGCGCTAATTATAGGTGTGAAGGAATATTCTGCACAGCTGCTTCTTCCTTACTGTACAACTACGTATTCTACACGCGTACCTTCCCATAAAGTCGTGCTGTGCGTCTGTGGGCAGGCCACACGTGCAGGTGAATGATCAACGGGCAGTCCTGACGGTGTCGCCTTTCCTGTTGTCTGGGCAGAGCTGTCTGGTGAGACCTCACACGTGAACACAGGTTGATCCTGTTGTCCAGGCAGAGCTGTCTGGTGAGACCTCACACGTGAACACAGGTTGATCCTGTTGCACAGGCAGAGCTGTCTGGTGAAACCTCACACGTGAACACAGGTTGATCCTGTTGTCCGGGCAGAGCTGTCTGGTGAGACCTCACACGTGAACACAGGTTGATCCTGTTGAACAGGCAGAGCTGTCTGGTGAAACCTCACACGTGAACACAGGTTGATCCTGTTGTCCGGGCAGAGCTGTCTAGTGAGACCTCACACGTGAACACAGGTTGATCCTGTTGCCCAGGCAGAGCTGTCTGGTGAGACCTCACACGTGAACACAGGTTGACAGCTGCCTGCTTTGCTTTTAGTTGAACTGCTAAGTGTGTGAGGTGCGATATACGCTAAGTGGAGCGCTCTTGGCGTTTCTCAGAATCAAAGTGTCCGAGACGCTAACATCTCACGGTACCAGAAGGTGATGGCTGCACTGCAGTCCCTTCTCCATTCCCATCTTGGGATTTTGGGCATACATGCACATGTGTCTGGTGGGAGTTTGAAGCCACCAGACCCAGGACTTGAACCACAGTCGACTATGTGAAAGTCCAGCAATGTAACCATTACGCCATCTGCTGGTCCTAGGAAGATGTTCTTTACAGACCGATCTTCGAGTACTTTACACTGTAAGCACATACTAAAGGTTGTCCGTTTTGGGAACCAGCAGTTAGCGTAATGGCTATGTCACTGGACTCCCACATAGTCGACTGCGGTTCGCGTCCTGGACCTTGTGGCTTAGAACTCATGCCGGATGCGTGTGCGTGCGTGCCCAAGATCCCGAGAAGAGAATGGAGGAGAAGGGATTGCGGCGTGACCATCCCCCCTGGGGAGTGATTTCTCGCTTTCTCTCTCTATGTCTCTCTCTGTCTGGTGAGCGCATGCGCCCTGTAGCAGGAAAAAAAAAAACTCTCCAAAAAAAAAACCAGGTTGTCCATTTTAAGTTCTTTCTTTTTTTGAGAGGTTTTGCTATAGAGTGCGTGTGCTCACCAGAAAGACAGAGACAGAGAGACAGAAAGCGAGAAATCACCCCCCAGGGAGGATGGCCACACCGCAATCTCTTCTCCTCCATTCTCCTCTCAGGATCTTGGGCACGCACGCCCGGTGTGAGTTTAAGCCACCGGGTCCGGGACTCAAACCGTGGTCGACTACATGGGAGTCCAATGACATGGCCATTACACCAACTGCTGGTCCCCGGTTTAAGTTCTATTGACAGTATTGAGACAATTGCGAAGTCTCTCCTGGCTCTGAAATGCTCTATTCTGTTACAGTGTTCATGTTTAGGCATAGCTTTTCAATAGAATGTTTATGTAGATATAAATATGTGGGAGAAAATAAATATGTTGGTTTATCGTTTTTTCACCCTTCCAAACAGAAAGATGTATTCCAGTTAAAAGACATGGAGAAGATCGCTCCGAAAGAGAAGGGCATCAGTAAGTATTCAGAGAGACGCCGGCATGTTTGGGGAATAGCTGTCGTCTTTCTAGAACAGCCTCTTGATTTATGGAAGAACGTCAATTTCTAGACACAAAGACTGTCTATAAAAGTCCCTCTAAATGTCTGTGGGCCACAGCCATGGTTTTCAAGTTTGGAGAATCTGCTCTAGAAAAGTTAAAATGAAACACACACTTGTACACACACGTGTGCATGTACACACACGTGTGCATGTACACACAGCGTGCACACACATCACTATTTATGTGTACAGCTTGCTTCCAAAGAAGTAAAATTTACAAATGTTGGCTTATTTGGCCTGACTTTGTGTCTTTACCTGGTATACGAGGACTGCAAATGACTAGAAATTTGGTGGCTTAAAACAGCAGAAATTTGGGGCCAGCAGGTGGTGAGATGATTCTCCTATGTGGCTGACCACAGTTTGAGTCCTGGACCTGGCAGCTAACCCTTTATCTCTCTCTGACTCTCTCTGGTCAAATTAAAAACCAATAATAACAAATAAAATTAAATAAAATAACTCTTAAAAAATAATTTAAAACAAAGAAAAGCAACAGAAATTTACTCTCTGACAGTGCTGGAGGCCACAGGTGTGTAGCCAGGGTGGACAGGCCGTCCTCCCGGAGAATCCCTTTCCTGCTCTGTCCTGGCTGCCGGTGGCTGCCAGCAGGGCCTGCTCCAGTCTGCCTCTCTCCCCAGCCAGCCTTCTCTGTGTGTGTCCCCCCCAGGTCCCTCAGAGGGACACGTACTGTTGGGTTTAGGACCTGCCGCACCAGGATGAACTCTCTGTAGACCCTCGACTTAGTTATTACAGCTGCAAAGACGCAGGCCCCACGCACGGTCTCACTCATCTTTTGGGGAGCCACTGTTCACCCCCTACACATGATATGTTTATTATTCGAAACATTTCTTTCTCATCGTATAAGCTACGCATGTTTATTTTAACGAATTGGGATACTGTAAGAAAATGAAAAACTGAATCTCTCTATTCAGAGATCAGCAGTGTTAGCATCTTGGTGTATTTTGATCTTATTTCTGGCTTCTCTTTGTGTGTCTGTCTCTCTGAGGAGAACGAGCTGAATGTATAGTTTTGTGTTTTTGTCTTCTTTCATTTTTTTTTTTAACTTGCAAGGGGGCATGTGCACACGCTGGGGAGAGACCGGGAAAGAGGGGGGAGTGAGAAAGCCCCCCGAGGGCGATGGCCACACCACACTCCCTTCTCCATTTCTCTCCTCTGGGATTGGGGCATGTCGCACCCACGCCCAGTGTGTTTTTCACGCCACCTGATCCAGGACTCGAACCACGTGGTCAACCATGTGGGTTCCAGCTGCCTTAAACCACGCCACTGGCTGGCCCCACACCTGTCCTTGTCCCCCCATCGGCCGTGTCTTGTTAGGCAGCCCTCAAGGACGACGACGCTGGCACCAGCTTTTCCCCACCCCGCCTGCTGCTTCACTTGGAACGTCCCTGGAAGGGGACAGAAAATAGTCGCGCTTACGGCGTGTTCTCAGGCTGCCTCCGGGAAGGCTCTGTACTTCTTTGCAAGTGGGGTTGAGTGTCTTGCCCATTTGCTATCCGTTGTATTTATTTGTTAAATCTTCCGTTTTAAATAGTTTCTATTATATTTGGGGATCTGCTCTAGCAACAATTAAGATGGTCATTAAAACACGGGTGTATTTCTTGGTACACAGCAGAGTCATTTGTGAAATGTGACTCTGCATATCTTTACGTGGTATTTAAACACATGTTTTTCTGGTTTTTAACCTTAGCCCTAGCTATAGCGTCTAGTTTATTTATCGTGTAATTTTCTGTGTTAGTTTTGTTTTAGTTTGCTTATCAAATGATAATACACATTCGTTGCTGAGAGGAAAAAAGAAATAAGCAAAAAGAAGAAGATAAAAATTGCGTGTTGCCTTTCATTTAAGGATAAGCCCTTCTTGGTAATACATACTGTGTTTTTCTTTTTCTATATGACACATTCTGTGTGATACATTTTGAATATCTACCCATGTCACTAAATAGCCTTTTCTAATGTAAACGATTGCCTAGCAGCTCATCAGAATAAAATACTTTTTTTTTTTTTTTTTAGGTTTTTGCCATGGGGTGCATCAGCTCACCACAGAGTCAGATGGGGGAGGAGAAAGGGAGGGAAAGTGAGAAATCACTCCCTGGGGGGGATGGCCATGTTGTAATCCGTCACCTCCATTCTCTTCTCGGGATCTTGGGCACGCACACACATATGCCCAGCATGATTTTCAAGCTGCCAAGTCCGGAACTCGAACCAGGTTCAGTCATGTGGGAGTTTGGTGCCTTAACCATCATCCTACCTGCAGGCCCCACAATAAAATACTTTTAAAAATTCGGTTATTGGTCCGGTTTCCAATTTTTCACTATTGGAGACAGTGTTTAGTGAGCAGCCTTTTACATATGAATCGTCTTCTCTAGCTAACTTTATTTATTTTAAATTATTATTTTGAGAGGTTTTTGCCTTAGAGCATGCATACTTGCTGGAGAGAGAGACAGACAGACAGACAGACACAGGGGCGGGGAGGATGGCCATACCACAGTCCCTTCTTCACCATTCTCCTCCCGGGATTTTAGGTACACATGCACATGAGTTTGAAGCTACCAGGTCCAGGACTTGAACCAAGGTCGGCCATTGTGGGAGTCCAGTGACAAAACCACCACACCATTCACTGGTCCCTATTTGTTTTTCCTACAGGGTATGTGTGCTCACTAGAGAGAGAGAGACAGTGAGAAATCATCCCCCAAGAAGATGACCACGCAGCAGTGCCTTCAATCTCCTGGCAGGATTTTAGGCATGCATAATACAGGACTCACGAAGTCGGCTATGTGGGACCCGGCCACCTTAACCTCCACATCACTCGCTGGCCCTCCTTGAATGCTTTTTAATGTTGTAGTGTTTTTCTTTTCTTTTCTTTTCTTTTTTTTGAGAGGTTTTCGCTATAGGGCGCATGCGCTCGCCAGACAGAGAGAGACATAGAGACAGAAAGCGAGAAATCACCCCCCAGGGGGGATGGTCACGCCGCAATCCCTTCTCCTTCATTCTCCTCTCGGGATCTTGGGCACGCACACACATGCGCCCGGCGTGAGTTTTAAGCCACTGGGTCTGGGACATGAACCACGCAAACCACGGTCGAGATTACGTGGGAGTCCAGCGACATAGCCATTACGCCAACTGCTGGTTCCCAGTGTTGTAGTGTTTTTAATGTGGTCGAGCAACCACAGCTCACTGCTCTCTGTGATTATCGATGGGTTGGCCATTTCTCTGTGCAGTGACCACGCCTGCCAGTACATGCCCGTTAACGCACTCTTAACTTTTCTTCCGTCTTTATTTTTTTAAGACTCCTTATTTGAGAACTTAATTAACTCATAATTAACTTCTGATGTATAATCGTTTTTTGCTACCGTCTCCTTGCCTGTTCACTGTACTGACTGTGCTTCCCCCCAGCGGCCATGTCCGTGAAGGAAGTCCTTCAGAGCCTGGTCGATGACGGCATGGTTGACTGCGAGAGGATCGGGACTTCCAATTACTACTGGGCTTTCCCGAGCAAGGCTCTGCATGCCAGGAAACGTAAACTGGAGCTTCTGGAATCACAGGTAAGGCCCCCGGGTAAAAATCACCGATGTGCTCTGTGACAGAAAGATTTGATCTACTTAATTCTTTTGTTTTTAAGAATTATTTTATTTAATTTTATTCATCATTGTTATTTATGCATGTATACATGGATGTATTTAAATTGAGCAGAGAAAGACACAGAGAGAGAGAGAGAGCACGCGTGTGCAGAAGCGAGAGAGCAAGCTGCCAGGTCCGGGACCACGCTCGGCCATATGGGAGTCCAGCGCCCCAACCACCATGCCACCTGCCGGCACCCTTAATTTTTTTATTTAGTGGTTTCCTTTAGATGCTTAGCATGCATTAGTGAACTAAAAGTCTGACGATAATAACACCTGTATCTTTTACATGGTACAAGGACCTTAGAATATTTTAGTTTTTGTCTTCCCACATGTCTTGATACTATTTCCTAGTATTTTAATACCATTTTTTTTCTGTTTTTTTGAGAGTTTTTGTTTGTTCGGTTTTTTTTTTTTTTTTTTTGGTTTTTTTTGTTCGTTTTTTTTTTTTTTTTTTTTGGTATAGGGCGCATGTGCTCGCCAAAAAGACAGAGACAGAAAGCGAGAAATCACCCCCCGGGGGGATGCCCATGCTCCACTCCCTTCTCCTCCATTCTCCTCTCGGGATCTTGGACATACATGCACACACGCCCAGCGTGAGTTCAAGCCGCTGGGTCTGGGACTCGAACCGTGGTCAACTGTGTGGGAGTCCAGCGACATAGCCATTACGCTAACTGCTGGTCCCAAGGCTGGTTTAATTCTAGAGTAATTTGTATGCATTTTGCTCTCATGAAGAAGGAAGGGATAGTCTTGCAATAATCATAAAGACAGAGCTTACTTATGCCAGAGGAGGGAGTGAATGTGGCAATATGACTCCTGAGTGTAAATGTGTGAAAAGTGCTCCTAACCCAGAAGGGCACAGTAGTAATCATAGGAATGTTCAGTTCTTCAGGACTTCTTTCCCAGGAGAGTCTTAAGGATTTCTCTCCCTTTTGGTATTTCTTTCCCACCTTTTTTTTAATCAATAGACTTTTAAAAACTTGGGAGGATTTTTTTTTTTTTTGAAGAATTATTTAACTTTATTTTAATTTTTAAGTACATCAGAGAGGGACAGAATGAGAGAAAGAAAGCAAGCAAGCAGCCAGGTCCGAGACTCAAACTGCAGTCAGTCATGTGGGAGTCCTGTGCCCTTAACCACCACACCCCCTGCCGGCCCCTTTAGAGCACTTTTTGTTTGACAAAAAAATTGATAGCTGGACTAGCCCTGTAGCTTAGTGGTTAACAGCAAGATCCCCCAAGGCTAACCATGGTTTAAATCCCAGCCCTGGTGGCTTAAAAGACATGCTGGCCGGTCAGCACATGGTGGTGGTTAAGACGCTGGATCCCACATGGCTGATCATTGTTCCAGTCCTGGACATGGTGGCTTGAAACTTGGTGTCATACATGTTCGCATGCATGTCCAAAATCCCAAGAGGAAAATGAAGAAGAGAGGGTTGCAAATATCACCTACCTCGGGGGGGGGGGTCCGATTTTTAACTTTCCCTCTCACTGTGTGTCACTGTGTCTCTGGTGAGTACGCGTGCCCTATGGCACAAACCTTTTAAGAAACAGAATAGCACAGGACCATGCTGACCGCGAGTGCATGCATGTACTCCAGACCCGATAGGATGGAGAGCCGAGAAGGGGCTGTCCTGTGGGCACCTCCCCTGTTGGAGGGTGTGTTCTCTTTTTCTCCCTCTCTTTCTCTTGGGCGAGTACGCACACTCCTGGCAGCTAAACAAAGCATCGATGGGAAAGCAGAGAGTTCCTAAATACCCGTCCCGTGTCCCTCCCCGTGCCCAGTCTCCCCTCCTGTCCCGTGCTCTCCTCAGAGCGCACATCTGCCCTGTTGCTGAGCCAGCAGCGACCCGTATGCAGAAGGGAAGTCATGGCTTACAGTGGGGTTCACTCCTGGTGCTTTACGTGTTGTGGGTTTGGACAAGCACAGGATGACATGTTTCCATGGTTACCGTGTCAGGCAGCGTGGTTTCACAGCTCTAAAGCCCTCTCTGCTGTGTTCCACGTCCCTTCCTCCCCTCGCACCCCAGCGACCACTGCCTTTTTACTACCTCCGGTCTGGCCTCTCCGGAAGGGCTTAGGCCGGATCATGTGATGTGTGGCCCACTCAGCCGCTCTCACTCAGTACACATGGGAGGCTGCTCTCAGTGCGCAGGGGAGGCCGCTCCGTGTCTTAGGGCCGGATCACGCGACGCATAGCCTGCTCAGCTGCCCTCAGTGCGCAGGGGAGGCTGCTCCGTGTCTTAGGGCCGGATCATGCGATGCGTAGCCTGCTCAGCTGCCCTCAGTGCACAGGGGAGGCCGCTCCATGTCTTGGTGGCTCGATGGTGCATTTCTTTTTGCTGCTACAGAATATTCCATCGCGCAGACACACCTGTTCACCTACTGAGCTACGGGGAGCGTCTTGGTGGGGTGTAGGTTTTTGTGTAGACAGAGTTCAGTTTTCAGCTCACTCGGGTAAATGCCCTGTAGCGTGATTGCCGGATCATGTGGCAGGCACGTGTGCTTTCTAGGAAGCTGAGGGGCCGCCTTCCGAAGCGGCCTAGCCCTTGGCATTCTCCGCTGCTGCGTCCCCTCGAGCACTCGGTCGTGTGCTCACTTACAGTCGCCTGGAGATCGGCCATGTGCGGTTCCTGCTCACGTGCTCAGGACCACCTGTGCGCAAGGAGGTCCTTACCAGCTCTTTTGTCCATTCTGTATTTGAGGTTTATTTTTAAGTTTTGCTGTAAGGCATGTGTGCTCACCAGAGAGGGAGAAATCATCCCCCCAGCGGGATGGCCATGCCACAATCCCTTCTCTGCTCCCCTCGGAGGGTTGGGGCACACATGTACACATGCCCAGAGCACTTTTCAGGCCATAGAGTCTGGGACTTGTGCCATGCAGTTGGCCGCTTGGGACCCAGGGCCTTAACCACCAGCACTGCCTGTTGGCTCCCACTGCTTTTTTCTTAAGCAAGAGACTTTTGCTGTAGGGTGCATGCACTCGTCAGGGAGACAGAGAGACAGACAGAAATGAAAAATCACCCTCCCAGGGAACCAGCAGTTGGCGTGATGGCTATGCCGCTGGACTCCCACTTAGTCGACTGCGGTTCGCGTCCCGGACCCGGTGGCTTAAAACTCACGCCGGGCGCGTGTGCGTGCGTGCCCAGGATTCCAAGAGGAGAATGGAGGAGAAGGGATTGCAGCGTGACCATTCCCCCTGGGGGGTGATTTCTCGCTTTCTGTCTCTCTCTGTCTGTCTGGCGAGCGCACGCGCCCTATAGCAAAAAACCTCTCCAAAAAAAAAAAAAATTCACCCTCCCAAAGGGGACGGGCACACGAAAATCCCTTCTCCGTTCTTCTCTCAGGATGTTGGGCACGCGCATACATGCACCTGGCCTGAGTTTTTAGCTACCAGGTCTGGGCCTCACCGTGGCCAACTACATGGGAGTCCAGCGATGTAATCATTATGCCATCTGCTGGCCCCCACCACTACTTTTTAACAATTAAAAATAAATTACAGTGCCTTAGGTAAACATCTAGGGTTTATCATTTTAGACTTCAGTGTTCCGTCTCATTTATTCATTCAGCAGACTTACTTACACACTTTTGGCAGGGTGTGCTGAGTCTGGAAAAACATCATTTCAAAGAACTTGCAGTCAATTCTTGAAGGAAAGAGACCTGGGGATGGTTGGTAGGAGATGGGCAGAGGTTACATTGTTAAGATTTTGCTTGAAGGCGCCCAGCAAAGAGACAGGGAGAGTAAGAAGGCACCACGCGTGGAGGCTTGGTCACCCGTAAGCCCTCTGCATTTCTCCTTTAGGGTTTGGGCACACACACACGTGCTTGAACCATGAAGCTGGCCATGCGGGATCCAGCCGTCTTAATCACCAGCCCACCGGCTGGCCCAGAGGTCACATTTTAAAGGTTCCTATCGGCCAGTTCTGTAGCCGGGTGGTGAAGGCAGCCAGATCCCACATGGTTAACCATGCGGTTTGAGTCCTGGCCTGGCAGCTTGAGAAACATGGCAGGCCCGTGTGCACTGGTGCCCCACATCCTCACAGCAGTTGGAGAGGAGATGGGGGAGGAGGAATTGGCACGTCCAGGCCCCTTGAAGGGAGCTTTCTCCTCTCTCTCCCACTTGAGTACACATGCCCTCTGACAAAGTAACAAAGAAATAAAGATCCTTCTGTATTATGATCGGGACTTGAGACCGACCTGGAACAGAAGTCAGCGAAGGTCCTAGCAGAGACGTTGTGTGAGACAGGCCTTTCTGAGGACGGTGCAGAGGATGGCTGGGTAGGTGCAGCCTGGGGTCACAGACGCCGGTTGACAGGAGGGCCGTGATCCCAGTGGGTCCTCAGGGAGCACCAGGAGCACCCACCATGTGCTCCCAGACCTTCCCCTCGGCTCCTCCCTGTCACCCTGGAGGTCAGTTCAGCTACCAAGACTGCTCGTGGTAGAGACAGTGGCGTCTCAGTATCTCGAAGAGGGGGCTTCAGGGTCCACGCTTTCCACCCGGAGCCCCTAGACTTGAGAAGGGATGAGTAGGAGTTACCACTCATTTGGAAAGTCATACACTGGGGGACCAGCAGCTGGCGTAATGGCTATGTCGCTGGACTCCCATGTAGTCGACCGCAGTTCAAGTCCCGGACCCGGTGGCTTAAACTCACGCTGGGCACATGTGCGTGCGTGTCCAAGATCCTGAGAAGAGAATGGAGAAGAAGGGATTGTGGCATGGCCATCCCCGCTGGGGGGTGATTTCTCGCTTTCTGTCTCTGTGTCTCTCTGTTTGCCTGGCGAGTGCACGCGCCCTATAGCAAAAACTTCTCAAAAAAAAAACCAAAAAACTGAAATAAAACTAAAAACAAAAGGAAGTCATACACTGGGCTTATAGTTCCTATTTCTTGCCCAAACTTCAGAGGTAGAACGTCCCCTAGAAGTTCCCTC